GCTCCTCTGATGCTGCTTGGCCTGCTGTGTTCATCCAGCTCTACACCTTGTTATCTCAGATTCTCCAGCATCTGCAGTTCCTACTATCCACAAAACTACTGGGTTGTCTTAACAAGATATTGGGTTCACAAATTTTCTTTTGGGGGTGAAATTTACCATTCTCACCCATACTAGCAGACATGTGATCTAGATCCACAGCCATTTGGTCAATTTCTCAATGGCCAAGTAAACCACTCTGTTTAAGGGTAACTAAGAATGGGCAATAAATGGTGGCCTGGCCAGTAATGCCCACAATCCAAGAGCAACTAAAAAACAGCGAATTGTAAAGACTGGTAACATGTGGTTGGGGTTGCTTATTGATAAAGCAGCCAGGTCTGCAATACATTTGATGTTCCCTGTGCAAAGTATACCCTCCCCCCAATTCTGTAATCATTCCCAGCCCATACAATCCTTTGAAATATCTCTGCTCATCCATTTCTAGCCTTTTGCACATCCCTTAATTTAATCACTCCATTACTGCTGCAAATAGCATAAACTCTGTAATTCCCAATCTTTAGACCTCTTCCTCACTGTCTGCCTTTAAGATGCTCATTAAAACCTGTCCCTTTGACAAAAAGCTTTTAGTCTTCTGCCCTAATATCTCTTTAAGTGGCTCAGAGTCACATTTTGTTCGATAACATTCCTTTGAAGTGCCAGGGTACATGTTACTGTCGAAGGTGCTAAGGAAATACAAGTTTCAGTAATGCTGTAAGATGTTGACCTCTGCAGTTTGAGGAATGAATGTTGCAATGGATTTTGTCACATATATTTAAGCCCATTCTAAGGGAATTTGCAGATCCTTTTCCCCTTACCCACTGATGGGTCACTATTCCATGATATTCAAGTCTGCTGAGCTCTCAGATGTTTGCAGGCAGTCATTACCATCCCTTTGCGTTTTTGCACACTCCATTAGCGATCTCCCAGTATTCATCCAGGAAGCAATAGAGACAGTGGAACACAAACTATTTAATAAAGGACAAACAACTTACGTTTGCTGAGCACCTTTCATAAAGTAAACGTCCCAGCACCTTGAGGCAATGGTGATATTTATAGAAGTCCCATAGTGTGGAAACAGGCCATTCAGCCCTACAAGTCCATACCAACCCTCCAAAGAGCATCCCACCCAGACCCATCCCCCTACCCTATCCCTGTAACTCTGCATTTCCCATGGCTAACACACCTAACCTACACATCCCTGAACACTATGGGCAATCTAGCATGGCCAATCCACCTAAACTGCATATCTTTGGACTGCGGGAGGAAACTGGAGCAACCGGCCGAAACCCACGGGTCAGGAGATCAAAAACTTGATCAAGAGATAGGTTTTAAGGAGCATCTTAAAGGAGGAATGATGAGTACAGAGGCAGAGAGATTTAAGGAGGTAATTGTAGAGAAGCTTAGAACCTGCTAGACATGTCATCTCTTTCCCCTTTATTCCATCAGAAGGTGTTTTGTCTGCTCTTGACAATTGGCCACAGTAACAGGTTTGGAACGAGGAACTTACACCGTGGCTAAGCACAGGCATGGATCTAAATCTCTTCATTCCCTGAGAGTGTCCATAGGCAAGGCACTTGACAAACATGGAGCTACTGGATTAAACACTTACCATGTTGGAGTTAAAAACTTGTTAAAGTGCAATGTGTGATGGAGTCACCTAGTTTCAAATCCAGCTGAGACTGATGGGTTGAAGGTATCTGATTCATGGCTGAAAAGGATCCCAAATGAAATGAGTTTGGACTGCCTCAAATTTTCAATGGATATTGAGCCACAGGACAAAACTGTTCTTAATCCAGCACACTTTCAATTTTAGACAGTAAACAGTACACAGGCAATCAAAAATATCTTGCGTGGTTAAGAATGTCTCAGGTAAACTGTAACAGGTTTAAATGCCCTTTTTCCACCTGTATGTGGTGAGACAAAGAAGGCTCCTTGACTGTGGAGGTTATTCTGAATGGATTTGATTCCTTCCTCACCCAGCATCACCCCATGCACATCGGTACACATGCAGTAGTGAGTGCATTTTCCAAACAGGGCTGCCTGGATTATCTTCAGGACTAGGAACTGCTCTTAGGCCCTTCCCAGACAAAAGTCTCAGGGGCCAGTTGTAGTTTGGAGCCATTGCTCTGACTAAGGTGGCTAGTGGGCTCTTCCTGGTCAAATCAGCTTAGTCGTACACCACATCCATTTAGCAAACACAGATGCCTTCACTTCTGTCCTTCAGGCTTTATTTGTGTTCTTGGCTCCAGGCAGAGTCTCGGAAGAAGATGATGCAGGAGAAGCTGAAGAAGAAAGATTATGAGATTGAAACTCTGAAGAGAGAGCTGAGAAAGCAAGGCCAGGAGCTATGTGATACCACCACGCAGCTCGTCAACCTGCAGAACTCTATGGTGAGTAGGCACCTTGCATTCGATTTACAGAAAGCTCAATGCTGGGTTTAATGTTTGTGTGTTAGTCTATGTGTGCCACTCAGCAAAATTAAAGTACTTTATGAAGTCTAAGCTTTTAAAAACCTTGCACAGATTGAAGCTCAAACTGAAAGAACTGAAGGGTCCTCTGTCTGCAGTTTGTTGGAGAAACCTGTTAATATGAGTTCGGGGTAACCTTTACCCAGTTAGATTGAGACACATTTTTTGGAGCAGTACAGAGGGAGTTATTCTTTCCATCTAACCATGTTATACATATCCATATAGACTTTGATACAAACAATGAATGCTTGAGGTGAAAGGTTCAATTCCCCTTGCTTCAATCAGCATTTAACTCATGTCAGAAACGATATGTTTAGCAATCATAAAATCATTAAGGTCATAAATTGAAGGCATCACTGCACCAATTAATTACTTTATTGTGAACTCCAGCCAGTACCCAAGACATTGGCTGCAGGGAATTAATGAGCTCAATACCGTCCAGGAGCTAAAAGAACAAGTATTCTTGAATTGGTGGGATAATTTGAGCATTTTGTTGATCTCTCAACTTGTGTTAATCCAAACCCTTCACATTATTTAGTTCATTGCCAGATGGTGTAATATTTGGTGTTGTGGACAGTATAGCTCTGTTGCTGTTAGCCCAGTTTTCTTCCAGACTGCGTCCTAAAATATATTAAAGTTAATTCTAATTACTTGGTAACTGTTTGATTTTTAACATGACTCCTGAGGCCAGCTAGGGCATAGCTTCTTGGGACAAGACGTTAAAAGGGAGGATGGTATGACAATTACAGATTAAAATGTATATAAACATTCAGAAACATTATTAACAATTTCCTACACCAGTGCCAGAGTGCTTAGCATTGTGCACATGTAAAAATGGTCATGGCCACAGCCAACAAAGGAAGCTCAAATCCCACTGCTGTTAAGGAGGAGAAGTGACCTTTGGCCGCCTATTGATAGGAAGTGTTATCTCCATAAAACTAGCAAAATTAAACCCATCCCCTTGTATTGAGCAAGTTTATTTTCCAAAAAACTTTAATGAGCCTCTCCCAAGAGAGTGTCTCGTTATTATCCTTGGAAGGAGATGTTAGGGGGACTAGAATGAGTTGGGGAATGTTTCGGCCCCAGCTTCAGAGCTGGTTCTGAATTGGCTTATTCATAGAATCGTAGAACCCCTACAATGTGGAAAAAGGCCATTCAGCCCATCGAGTCCACACCGATCCTCCAGAGAGCATTCCACCCAGACTGACCCCACTACCTTGTGCCCACGGCTAACCCATCTAGCCTGCACATCCCTGAACACTCTGGAATATTTAGCATGGCGAATGCACCTAATGTGCATGTCTTTGGACTGTGGGAGGAAACCGGAGCACCTGGAGGAAACCCACGCAGCCACAGAGAGAATGTTCCACTCAAAATGGCATTGAAGAGAGATTTCCTCCCCCCACCCCACCCCACCCCACCCCCCCCCACCCCCTACCCTACCCCACCCTATAACCCTCAAGCCCTTCTACTGGCTTCCTGGTTCTATGGCCCATCACCATCTGGTACTTCTTCAAGTGACCATCCTACATGTGTGATTAATGGATATTGGGAGCTGTTAAACTTCAAAGGGCACAAGGGTCACTGGATAGAAAATCAAACTTTAGCCGGTCAGGTGATTCTTGTCCTTCTTGGTCCAAAGCACTGAACTCAGTGGGTTGAAGTTGATTCAACGGTTGTAACTCTCAAAAAAGGATAAATGACATGGAAAATCTAGACAGTCATTGGGAAAGAACAGTGGACTGAGCAGCTCTTTCATCATGTTTGAGGCATGATGGACTTAATGACCTCCTCCTCTGCTGGATGGTTCTATCAATTGAGATGTGAGCTAATCAGTATTAAATTGGACCTGAGCTAGCCCTTCTTAACACAAAGAACAGCAAATGTGTCTAATAATGTGCCAAGTAGAGTCATGGAGACCAGGCAAAATCCAGTTGGATGCTAAACTGTGAGTGTAAGTTGCCTGTGATGTTTTATTGTTTGCTGCAGAGTTCTGGAAATGTCTGAATCTTATAAAGTGTGGCAGTCTGACAGGAAACAGCAAGATTAGATCAAAAAAAATTGTAACGTAGGAGACAGGCTGAATAGGATAAATGGAACTGGGTCATTGAGCTTGATAAGGGAAGTTGCATTCCTCCATGCACACATGACTGAGTGCAGAAGTTACAGATAATTGCAGCATTCCAAATGAATCAGGGTTCTAATCTAGGTACTTTCTTCAGTTAGTAACTAGTTGGTTAGTTACTTGCTGGAATTAGTGGTATAGTTTGTGACAGGATAAAGATGAACCGTTGTGGGGATATTCAGATTGATGCCCATGAAAACACAAACAGGTCAACCCAGGCGGCCCAATATGTGTTGTAATGACTTATACGTCACAGTCCAGACAGTCTGCAACCCCATGCACCATGTAATATCCTGGGAGATACAAACCAACATTTAAAAAGCCAGGCCAATCAGCAGGGTGAAAAAAATTGAACATTTCTCCTTGAATCTATCCTTCAGCAGTCGAACCTAGTCCAAGAGAACACGTTAACCCTGCTTTATTGTAACAAGATACCTTCTTTTCGTATGAGGTGATCATTACCTCAGCCAGAAACAGCGCCAATCCAAGGTTGGTGAAATTCAAAGAATCAGTATTCACTTCCCGAGCTGCAAACTAGTTCAACAGGTCCACTGTTCTCTCAGAAAAGAAAAGCTACCTCCAACTTTGAACTTCATTCTGCCCATACAAATTTAAAAGCATAACCCTAGGTCCTTCTTAACTTATTTAGTTGAAATAATTGGTCGACATGCATACAGTCTGGTTCCTTCAGTCTTTCATTAGCAAGGAAACAGAACATGCAGACATGACTTCAGATGTTATATTTAGAAAGGAGATAACTCATTTTTTATAGAATGCAATTATTAAATAAACTGATCAAACTTTAAGAGAATAAATAATCAAGTCCTGACAGATCACATCCATACGTTTTAAAGTATCTAGAGAAAAGAGAACAGACGTATTACTGCACATATTTAATTCTTCATCCAAGAAAGTTATACTGCCAGACGATTGGCAGATAGCTAACGTTTTCTTTGTATTTAAGAAGGGAGCTAGAACCTGTCTAACGAACTATAGATCAGTCAGCTTAACATAATTAGTAGGAGAAATAATGGAATTCCTACAAGAGGAGAGAAATAGAAGAACATCTCAAAAGCAAAACTATGACAATGCATTGTCCAAATGGATTTCAGAAAGGAAAGTCTTACCAACTGGCACAATTAAGTTTTTGAAGAGGTAACAGAGACAGAATCAAAGGGTATTTTATCTAATTTATCCAAAACCTTATGGTATCACAAAATAGACTAATGAATAAGGTCTGAGAATGCAGAGTCAGGGAACAAGTAGCAGAATGGATAACTCACCAGCTTTAAACCAGGAAGTAGAGAGAAGGGCAAATACCTTCAGTGAATAACACACTGGAACATCAAGATGTCATCATTCCATGCTGGGTGTAATTGTTTCTTTTTGCAGAGTATGTGTACATTTTAGCCTGCCCATGTGCATGAACCCAACACCTTTCTATATTTCTGGTCACCCAGAATGTCATATATGCTTGATAATCCAAGCTCAGTTATCTCGGTATTGTTTGCATATTGGAGGATTGCTCCCCCAAAACCTATATCCAGATCATTAAAGCAAATAGTAAACAGCAGTGGTCCTAAATCCAAACCACATGGACACCACTGGCAATTAGCCTCCAAGCAAATTCATTGACACCCATCTTCTGTTGCCGATCAAGATTTAAACAAATTACATACCATTAAATAATAATTCAAAAACACTTCATCATTAAATACAAAAACCTCACCTGAAAGCTTCCAGTTTTACTTTTATTTCTTTACAAAATCTTGAGGGTTCTTTCACTTCCCCTGAGATCAAACCAAGTTGTGCCACAGCTCTCAGAAATTTACATTGATTCTCCTCAGCATTGCTGCTATTCTCCAAGGTGTGAGATTTCCTGAGATCCTTCCACCAACTAGGTGATGCACCAACTCTACTTAAACATCTCACAATTGTGAACATCTGAGCTCAAACAGAAACCTCACTGCTTTCTTGCTTTAGTGAATCCCAATCAGAAGACTCCCTCGTTTTCTGATTGTCCTCTCCGACTGCTCTAAAGTTTCTAGGTAGATACTCTTTTTCTCTACGTGTGTCAAAGCTGCTTCCAAGCTCCAGCTACTCGTTTTAAAGCTTCTCCCATGCTGACCCAAACTCCTAACTACCTTTTTCTATGAGAAATGCAAAGATGGACATCAAAGAAATGTCTGAAATCTATCTCCATGGCAACATGGCACACTTGGGAAGTCCCAGTTAGAGACTTAAACTAATTATCTATAATTTCCAGGCTCTTCTTTAAGTCTGGGAAACTATATTAATATTTTAAAAGGTTTAGAAAGGGAACATTAATTGAATAGGTTTCCCACTTTTGATTCAGATCTTATTTAAATTTAACCCCTCGATTTGCAATTATTTTAAATCCATTTCTAAGTTCTCTACAGGTCTTTCACCATCCCAAAGTTCCAAATTATATTCCTTAAAACTTACAAACATGTAATTTCATACTTCTTAACACTATGTCTAAGGAAGGCACATCATTCCAAGTTCCTGCTCCCGATAGCTATCTTATGGCCCCTGTTGGATGTCAGAGAAGGATAGAATCAGCTTTAACTGCACAATGAAATAGTTCACCAACACCCAAGTAATTGCCACATGGGTAAACTGTTGAATGGTTGCTGCACACCCAAGTTGTGCTCTGGAATGTATCAGCACCTGCAGGACAGGACTGGAGACTAGAAATAAAACCAGAAAGTTCTGCAGAAATTCCATAGCTCTGGCAGTATTGGTGCAGCATTTTCTGATTGCCACCATCCCCAGTATTTCACATTTATTTTAGAGGGAAGTAGAACACTGTTTAAAATGCATTTTTGGAAAAGTCCTGATACCGCAACAAGTGTGTGTTATCCTGTGGCTTGCCGTCTGTTTTCCAGTATATGAATTGTGAAACATGTAGCTGTAGCCATTCGAAATGAGTGTGTTCCAGTTGATTGTGTGATCTTGCTGTCTGTCAGTATTTTGTAACACTGAGCCTTATTCAATGGTCTTTTTTCCCAGGAGATGAAGCAGAGGCAGCTCCCAGAGGAGTGAGCGATTCCAGAAAATGCTGAAACCACCATACACATGCAAACACAAATCAAAACACACACACATAAATACATACACATGCACAAAAATACATACACACACACACACAAATGCATGTACACACACAAATGCATGTACACACACAAATACATGTACACACACACAAATACACACAAAAATGCGTCCACACACACACAAATGTATATACACACACACAAATACATACACACACAAATACATACACACACAAATACATACACACACACACACACACACAAAAATACATATACACATGCAAATACATGTACACACACAAACGTACACACACAAACGTACACACACGAACGTACACACACAAACGTACACACACAAACGTACACACACATCCAATACATACACACACACAAATACATACACTCACAACCAATACATACACTCACAACCAATACATACACATACAACCAATACATGTACACACAAATACATGGACACACAAATACATGTACACACACAAATATATACACACACAAATATACACACACACACAAATACATGTACACACACAAATACATGTACACACACAAATACATGTACACACACACAAATACACACACACACAAATACATATACACACACAAATACATACACAGACACAAATACATAGACACAAATATATATATACACACAAATGCTTATATATATACAAGTATATATACACACACACAAGCTCATATTCACACACAAATACATATTCACACACAAATTCACACATACAAACTCATATTCATACACAAATACATATACACACACAAATTCACACAGGCACAACTCATATTCACACACAAATACATAAATACACTCATATTGACACACACACAAACTCATACACACACACAAATTCATATATGCATACAAACACACATTCAAAAACCCATACACACACAAACACATACAAACTTATATACACATACACACACATACAAAAATCTATGCACGTGCTCACAAATTCATAGGCACATATATACAGATTCACAAAGAATCATGGGCTACTTCATTGCTGGGAAATCTATTTCTTTCTTGCAAAAGCTACATAGCACCAGATGTTTCTTTAAATTAACTGTTGTATGTTAATATTGAATCTGGTTGAATACTTTTTAATAGGAAAGGCTTGTATTTATGGAACACCTTTCATGATCTCAGAATGTTCTTTACAGTCAATGAAGTACTATTTCAAGCATATCAATGTGAAGCACTTTTAAACAGCATCATTTGAATGATTGATGTGTAATTCAAAGTATTGGGTATTTCAATTACAGTTTAAAATGACTAAATTCTGAAAATTAGACTGTATTCCCAGGCTTAGTATCCCACTGTTGTATAAAGCAGCTGGGACCCAAGTCTTCGATGTCAGTTGCATGTATTTTTTGTTGAAAATGTTCTAAGGAAGGGTCTGTTATTTAGTGACTCTCCACCAGGAACCTTGCTTGCATAAAGCTAAGTATAAAAAGGGGATATTTGGACTCTTAAAGACCAGCAGCCAATGCCCATCACGAGTAACACAAACATTTAATATAAAAATGCCTGTTCTTGTGTTGCCAGATGGATTGTTCCTTGCAGCCTTGCCTTGTTTATTCAGTTAGTAATTTGGTGACGCGTCAATGCACACACACTATGTGTCCCCACTACTGTAAGGCAGACCAAAATGGGAATTAACTGCCTGTAACCCTATTGCAACTGGGTGTGGATGTGCTGGGGGTGGTGTGGGCAATTGGCAAGCTGTCAGTAGGGTGGCTAAGCGGGGGTAGGGGGTCAAGAGGGC